TTGAGGCACATTTGGATTGCTTACATCTTTTGTTTATTGCAAACAATGCTGTAATGAATATGGTTATATAAGTCTCTGAATCCCTGCTTTTGGGCATACACCTTGGAATGGGTCATAGGCAAATTCTATGCTGAACGTTTTGAGGCACTGCCAAAATTTCCCACACCAACTGCACTATTTTACATCCCCATCAGCAAAGTAAGAGGAATTCAATTTCTCTACATTCTTGTCTTTTTTTTTTTTTTTGAGTACTACCACCATTCCAGTGGCTGTGAAGTAGAATCTCAATGTGGTTTTACTTGCATTTTCCTAAATGACTGATGATGTTGTCTTTTTTCAAACACATGTGATTTGGGTGGAGGTTTACAAAGCACATCAGTTTTCCATTGAACAATTCATACATATTTTATTCTATGCCACTGACTGCAATTCCACAGGGCAACAGGACTCACTCCTCTTCCTCCCTGTGTTTTCATTTATCCTTCTTTCCTATCGTTTCCTGACTTCAGACCTGATGTCCTTTTGATTTGGCTCTAAAGGAATGCTGACAGTAGAACCACTGGGGTAAAAGCTGAGCTACTAGAGTGATTTCAGTTCCAGGCCTATAGGATGACTAAGGGAACCAGTGTCAAGGTTTCAGCAGTTTTTATCCTACTAGTGAGTCTGTTTAAAAAAAAAAAAAAAAAAAAAAAAAATTATGATCTTGAGTTTGTTCCACATGTTTCTCACACTTTATCCAGGATCTTCTAATATGAGCCCTTTCAAAGAGGTTGATAGTGGTCTCCAAGCACCATCTAATTTTTCTGCTCTCAAGAGGCTGAGGTTTGTGTGTTCCATTAGTTCTTTGGATTATTTCCATGTATTCTTGATTTTTTTTCACTCTTTTTTGCTTTAGACAATGAGGGACAAATAGTTTGCACCTTACTTACATGGCCAGGACCGAATATCTTTTCAGGTGCTTGTTTGTCTTTTTAAATCTTCTTTGGAGAGATGTCTATTCAAATTCTTTGCCTATTTTTGAATTGGGTTGTCTTTTTTTAAATTTAACCTTTAACTGTGAATTGGGTGAAAGTTTACTGTTATTTCATTTTTCTGGTTCCTAAACTTACTTATTATAAAGAGATTCAAAGACTACCTGTCTTCTAATATAGGCGTACTGGAGCATATGTACACATTATACTGTTATTCACACAAGATTTATTTACCTTTTATAAAAATATCTCATGCAGTTAGGTCATTATAACATTTTCTTAATAACTATGCTTTGAAAGATCATACATCTATGGGTTTCATTTCAAGATTGTAGAGTGGGCATTATAAAATGTTTGAGAAGACGAAGGGGTATTGGGACTGATCATTTTTTCATTAAACAATTCATAGACATGTTGTTTCATGTCATTGATTACAAACTCCATAATATAGCATAAATTATTTCACTTCCTCCTCTCCTAAATCTCCTGAACTTTGTCCTTGGGTAAATGCTACCCATTTGATATCAAATGATTGATTATTTGTACCTCCCTAAGAAGTCCTAGTGTGACACTGCAGGATAAGTTACTGGTTTGAGATCTTTTCTGCTTTTTTATTGCAGGTACATTCCCACTGCCATCAAGTCAATTCTGACTCAAAGTGACCCTGTAAAGGTCTCAGAGACTATAAATCTTTACGACAGCAAAGCTTCAGGCTCTCTCCCATGGAATGGCTGATGAATTTGAACCTCTGACCTTGTGGACAGCAGTCCAATATCTATTCCAAAGTGGCACCTGGACTCTTTAATGTAGACATATATAGCTATACATTTCCCTTGGAGCAGTGCCTTTACTGCATCCAGCAATTTTAGTATGTCACGCTTTCATTTTTATTTTGTCTCACAGTATTTTCTAATATCTCTTATGGTCATTTTTTGATTCATGGGTTGGTTGTTTAATTTCTATTTGTGGATTTCTCAATTTTGTTGTTACTGATTTCTAGTTTTATTCCAGGTAGTCAGAAAATGCATAGATTTCAGTGTTTTTAAATGTATTGAGGCTTCTGTGGCCTGACATATTACCTGTCAGAGAGACTACCCTTGCCTTGAGAAGAATGTGTAGTCTCTTAAGTGTGCAACAGCATATGGAAAAGTTTTGAATGTTTTCAGAATTAGCAAAATAGCATGCATAAATATAAAATAAGCACATGCTGTCAGAAAAATGGTGCCTATACACGTTTGGAGTCCTGGTGTGGTGCCACAGAGGATAAGCACTCAACCTCAAGGCTGGCATTTCAAACTTACCAGCCGCTCTGTGAAAACCCTATACAGGGTCGCTATGAGTCCGAACAAACTCAACAGTACCTAACAACAACAATATACATATTTGACATAGGGTTGCCACACACCTTTAATGTGCAAAAAATCACAATGTCTGCAAAGCTCAATACAGCAAACTGCAATACAATAAGGTAAGCCTGTATCTGAAGGTTGGTAATTCTATCCTTTGAATTAATAGATGGTTGTACTGAAAAGTTTTTCTATTAAAATCTAGCCTCTCAGAATTCCTTAATTACTATGAGAGTGTACAATATTCACCACGTCTACTTACTTTAAACTTATTTACTAATACCTCATTTTTTAAAATCTATATTGCTTAGCTTTATGCCCATGAAAGTTTACTTTAACAGCCAATCAGAATTATCCTTTACCTGATTGTCCAATTAAGCTGATGAATTTTTAATTCAGCTCCTGAGCTTTTACTACAATGGTGGTATATATCAATTTAACAATCCCAGGGGCTCACAAAAAAATAGCATAAATTCCTTTCTCATAGGTCTGTGTGAAGCTGTGTTTCAAGATGCCAGAATAGACCATATCTGCTTCATGTATTTCTCATTCCTGGACCAGTTTTCTCATATCCAGGACATGCTCACCTTATAGCAGATGACACTGTGCCGGAGGTCAAGTCAAATGAGGTCAAGAACTGATCGCTTCTGCTCACATCACATTTGCTAACGTTATACTGTATAACCCCAACATTAACGGGATGGGGAATTTTCCTTTTTCTATATCACTGAGGAGGGTAGAGATAATATTTACTGAACAATGTCATCCTCCACAACTTAGCAAAATAAGACATTAGGGGTAACGTACTGAGTTCTTAAAAACAAGTTACATGTACTTAGGGGACTTACTTCAAAGTTAACACTTTTATATTTTTTAGAGTAACTATGCCCTTTCTTTTATAAAATATATCAGTAAAATGTGCTAGACTGAAAAAATTGTTATTATCTGACAAAATGAAGAGCTCTGTTAGCATAGTGGTTATGAATTGGGCTGCTAATCTCATGGTCAGCAGTTCGAAACTACCAGCTGTTCTGTGGGAGGAAAATGAGGTTTTCTGCTCCCGTACAGATTTATAGCCCCGGAAACCCTGTACAGGGTTGCTATGGATCAGAACCAACTCCACGGCACATTACAACATCATCTGACAAATTAAGAATGTGGCATCTTATCTCAGTTCTTGTTATTTTTGGAGAACTTTATTAATTTGCAAAGTCTATTATAAGAAAAAAGGAGCTCTAGTAGTGTAGTGTTTACGAATAGAGCTGCTAACTTCAAGGTCAGCAGTTCGAAACTACTAGCCCTTCTGTGAGAGAAAGATGAGGCTTTCTGCTCCCATAAAGATTTATAGCCTCGGAAACCCTACACAGGGTCATTCAGAGTCAGAACCAACTTCACAGCACATTACCACCACCACCACCATTGCTACAAGAAAAAAAAATTATAGACCACTGATTGTTAATTCCTTGTCTATCTGGTAGTTGGTTCATTGTTCAGAGGCTATTCTTTGACTTGCAAACCCATTGATCTTCTCCTTTTCCTGTGACTAGAAAAGTTCATGTTCTAGAGAACTGAAATGCCATTATTTATGTCTCGTGATCAAATCTAACTGCTACCTTAAAACTGGTTCCATTTACTCTTCAGGTCGCTATACAAACATGACTTTATAACCCTTGGGGCCCTTTCAAAAGAAATGGTTATTGACACATGAGAATCTTAATGTCATGTAAATCTTTCCTGTCCCTGACATGAAAATTTTAGTTAAAACAGTAAATAAAGAATAATGACCTGTGATTCTTTAACTCTAAAAGGCTGAGGTATATTAACATGAAAATTTAAAAAATGCAACTAATAGCTTTATTTCCAGTTTGAAAGCACACTACTTAATGGGTTTCTATATCTACAAGTGCTAATAAATGCTGATAATTGTGACATAACTTTATCAAACATTGCAACATATGAAATAGCAGAGCAGTGTTTTGTTTTGTTTCTGGTCACAGTATTGTTGATGCCAATGAAGCAATCGCTACTCCTCTAATGACTGATTCGCTCATTTCACTCCTGACTCCTTAGCTTATTTCCACCTCCTACTCTTCATCTTGTTTTTCACTTGTGATATTCTCCAACTTTAGGCATAATTAAAACATTAGAGCTACCTCATCTGCTCCAAATGAGGGGGTAAGGTAAAACAACACCATACTGAAATGTATTATATGTATTGAAAACCTTACCTAGAGACTTCTGAATTTGTCAAAACACTAAAATTTCCATCAGTCTTACTTAGTAAATGAGATTCACAGTTTATTATATGTGGTTATCATAAAACACTAACATATAGCACAAGATATGTGAAAGAAATAACTTCAATAAACGGCAACTGAATTTTTATTATCTTATTAACCTTGTCCAGCCTTGGTGATTTTGACCCAATAGATACATATTCATATCTGAACACAGGGGCAGCGAGGCACCCATGGCCTAACCAAGGATGTTTCCTTTAACTGGGACAAGAACTCAACCCACTTGTTTTGACAGTCATGTCTGTGTCATACCCCCATTTTAAATATGTATGCTTCTTTTACATTTTGTAGTGTTTACATAAATTACACCTCCTCGCTTTTTTAAAATGTAAGTCTTGTTCAAGTAAAATTGGAAATTAAAAAGTGGCTGTACATAAACAACATACCTGCAGGTATGATCATCACTCACACTTGCAATTTCTTGGCCTTCTTTGGGATCAAACACCAAACCATTAATAAAATCTGAATGGCCCTCTAAAATCTGACATAAAGGAACAAAAACAATTTAAGAGAGAGAAATAATCTAGAACATTCCTGTCTAACATTTGTACTTTACTGCCTTAAAAGCTTTCACTGCATGTTTCTCTTTTTCTATAAATATTTCTTAAGCAATCTGCTATTTTTAAAGCATGATTTATACACCCACTTTTCTGGAATATTTATCTTGGAAAGAAGTTGCTTGCTCACCTCACTGTTATTAGCCTGATCTTGTTTTTCTAGTATGCATTTCTTACAAAAACATACATTTTTTTTTTTTTTTTAAAACCATACCTGTCCTGACATCACCTCCTCGCTCACTTTCAACACAAAGCTTAAATAAAAAGTCAAGCTAGAAAAACATTTCAGGAGCTCTGAGATAGTGTCTCTCTTTGCTTTTTTACTTTATACTTCTTGCTCTACATACTTGTCACTACCTTATAAACATATACAGCAAGGATATCACCTTCTGGTGCCTTTCTCCATTTGTTCAATGTGACTGCTGGTACTGTTGACAGCTAATATGTAAGTCCACAGCCACCATCAACCCAGAAATCTTTTAGCTACAGAGGGAGCAAATGGGAAGTTGTGAGGAGGACTATATGAACAAGCAAGGTTCAACGTGTCTACATTTTTATAGCTGAAATCCTAAACTAGTCTTTAGATAGACCCTACTGTTTCCTCCTTCCACTCACCCTTCTTTACCCTTTTCCTTTGCTCTTTTAGCCCTTTCCTTCCTTCTATCCAAAATAATATCAAGTTTGATCTCAGTTCAAAGACTAACAAAGTGGTTCCAAATTGTACTGTTAACTATATAGAACTGCGTCATGAGAAAAGACAAGGATTTGGTTGGAACATTCCTGCAAGCTTTACCAAACCTAGGTCCTCTATGTCATTCCCCAAAGCTTTTGCCACAGTCTACAAGGCAAACTAAATTAGCATTACATGTTTGTCCATTACACATACGCATTATCTTTTTTTTTTTTTTTTTCAAGTTTTTAATGTGAATTATGTGGGTCTACAAGGGAGAGCTGCTCTGGTAGTGTAGTGGTTATGAATTGGGCTGCTAACCTCAAGGTCGGAAGTTCGAAACTACCAGTGGTTCCGCAGGAGAAAGATGAAGCATTCTGCTCCCATAAAGATTTATAGCCTCAGAAACCCTGTGCAGGGTCACTATGAGCCGGAACTGACTCCACGGGACTTAACAACAACAAGGTTTTACATTCATCCTACCATATTTCGTTTCATTGCAATGATCACAATCCCCTCCCCTTGCATCATTAAATAACCAAAGGGGACACCCCCCACCCCTGGCCATCAGCACACAGCTCTTCTCGCTCCATCTGTCCATGTTATCATCTGTCTCTATCCCTGGCATCACTGCCTCTCTGGGTTAGGGTCATGCTCTCCACTCTTCTCACTTGATGGTCCCAGGGACCTCTGCTCCTGGGCTGCAAAATCAATCACTCTCCTCCTGTTGTCAAAAAACATCTACTTCTATGTTTCCTACCCTCACAGTCAGTCCTGATAGCAATTATTCACTATTGTACCACAAGTCTTATCCCCATATCCTTTCACGAGCCCAGTTCCATTGGCGTTTCTACCTACCCCTGCCCTGTCTGGAACTAGTTTCCCTCTTGAAAGCTTGTAAGCCAGTCATTTCTTGCCTTTATAATGCTGCCCCCTCCACCCCATTTTGGGTAGCCACACTGTCTAAGTTGCCCATCCCTGTCAACCCTGTGTACCAAGGGGGTAGGAGTGATCCTTACTGTAAAGATCTGTTCCCTTTTACGAGCTACTACATCCACATGTATAGGTAAAGTTCATCAAATTATAGTGGGTTACTCTTTTTTTTTTCCTCTTTCTTTTCTTTTATTCTTTCTTCTTTCTTCTTCTAGTTGAGTTCTGCTCATCTAGCCATCGAAGCCTGGTCAAGTATGGGTGTTCTTGTGCATCTCCCCTCACTTCATATCAGCTGGACACTTACTTCCCTCTCGGTTCTAGTCCTCTGTGGCCATGCCACTGCCTCTGGGCCCAGGAGTCCTGGGTCTTGCCATAACTGATGGCCATCCAGGTCTCCGCCCGGGTTCACAGGAGTCTATTGAATGTGGTTGGATTTAGATCCCAATTACATTGCTGTTTTTTCCCTCTCTTCCCCTTATCAGTGACCAATGTGGTCACCAGCCAGACCACATGCCTGCTTGTGTATTCCCTTTTAGTCTTGGAAGGAAGTTTACTCTGAGGGAACCTGACCACTTGCCTTCATGGCTCCCAGGCGAACAGCTTACTTACTCTTGTAGTAATCAATCATACTGCCATTATTGTTTTTGATTTTTCCTGCTGGTCTTTCTTCACGAAATATCTTCGTCTTTTTAGTTGCTCCAGGCTAGTCTACTCACCCTTTCTAGTGGAAATTTCTGGATGGGATTCTGGTTTCCACCTATGGTCTTATGCAATGCAAAAACTCCACAGGTCTCTTTCACCGGGCAATTTCTAGCCCTCTTTAAGGTATTCTAATCAGTTATAGGATGAAGACGGAGTTACAAGCTTTCTATTGTGATGTTTCTGGCTATTTCTACTCCCCCCATACCCCCCCAGTGTCTTTTTCACAATGGTAGGCAAGGGAAACCAAGATTCAAAAGACAGCCAAACATCTTAACATTATTTCTCTTGTTTACCCTTTCAAACCTTGCCTCAATCCTTGTATCCTGAAGCCCTATTGTTACAAAGGTTGTGCATACATAATCATTTACCTCTGTCCCACTTAGCCCATGCGAACCTGCCTAACTGTTCTCCCATCCACTTTGTTCTTTCATTCCCCTCCCCCTTCTTGTGTATTGCCCACCCCCCAGCACCCACGTTTTCCTGTGTCTATTCCCTACTTTGTGCTCTATCTTCCCCTCCCTCCCTCCTCTCCTCTTATTCCATACATCCTGGTGATCAGCATTTATATATACAGTTTTGTTTTTCTTTTTTCCCCTTTTGGGTGGGTTCTTTTTCAATAATGGTCCTATGCAATATTCTCCTTTTGTGACTAATTTCACTCAGCATAATGTCCTCAAGGTTCATCCATGTTATACGGTGGCTTACAGCTTCCTTGTTATTCTTCAAGGTAATAGTATTCCATTGTGTGTATGTACCACAGTTTGTTTATCCATTCTTCTTTCATTGGGAGCATAGATATTTGATATGGTTATGTCGCCTTGCACAATTGATCCTTTGATCATGAGACAGTGTCCTTCATTATCTCTTATGCTGGTTTTTGTCTTAAAGTATACTTTATCGGAGACTAGTACTGCAACTCCTGCTTGTTTACTGTTGCAGTTAGCTTGGTATATTTTTTTCCATCCTTTAACTTTTAGTCTTTTTTTGGCTTTGTGTGTAAGGTGTGTCTCTTGCAGGCAGCATATTGAAAGGTCTTGTTTTCTTATCCATTCTGACACACTCGCTCTCTTCACTGGTGCATTCAATCCACTGACATTCAACGTAATTATCGATAGGTATGAATTAATTGCTGCCATTATGTTAATTTTTTGGTAGTGCTGTTCGTTCCTTTGTTCTGCATGCCTTCTTGTGCTGAGTTTGTATTTTTTGTCGGTTTGTTCTTAGTTTTCATGTTTCTTTGTTCTGCTTGGATGTTCATTTTCATGATAAGTTGTGAAGTACTAACTTTCTTTGGGGTTACCTTATAATCTATTAACTCTTCCCTCCATTTAAGACAATCTATTTTATCCTGTAATCTATGTGACCTCCTTACCACATGGATCTCTGTTCCTACACTTTTCCCTTCTTTGACATTGTTATTATTTTGATACTTGGTTGACCTTCCAGCTCCTCTGAATTCATTGTTGTAATTTTGTTCTGTACTGGACTCTGCTATCCATTATCTGAGTTTCAGGTGGAGTTGCCACACCTGTCAATCTCTGGTAGTTGTCTGTTCTTGTTGGTTTTCAGTCCAAAGAACTCCCTTTAGGATGTCTTGAAGAGCTGGACTGGCTTTGACAAAATCTCCTAGATTCTGTTTATCCTGGAATGTTTTGATTACACCATATTTGACTGGCAGTTTTGCTGGATAGATGATTCTTGGTTGCCAGTTTTTTTTTCTTCTAGGACCTTGTATATGTCTTCCCATTGCTTTCTTGCCTGCATAGTTTCTGCTGAATAGTCAGCGCTAAGTCTAATTTGCTTGCCTTTGTAAGTAACATTTCTCTTTTCCCTGGCTGCTTTTAGGATTCTCTCCTTGACTTTGATTTTGCAGAGCTTGATTATTATATGTCTTGGTGATTTTCTTTTGGGGTTTACCCTTCCTGGTGTACGTTTGGCTTCATGAATGTTTATTTTTTCACTTTTCAAGATGATAAGGAAATTTTCTTCCAGAAGCTTTCCCACTGTCTCCTCTGTTAATTTCTCTAGATTATTTCTGTTCCAGAATGCCAATAATTCTTAAGTCGGTACTCTTTATGTTATCCAGCATGAATCTCAGACTCTCTTCAGATTTTTTTTGAATCCTTTTTTCTGCTTTCTATTCTATCTTAGCAGTATTGAGAGATTTGTCTTCCAGCTCCCTGGTTCTGGCTTCCATCGTTTCTATTTTGCTCCTTTCCCCTTTCAGTGTATTGTCCATTTCTGATATTTTATTATTAATCATCTGGACGTCCTTTTGCAGGTTTTGAATGGTTTCCAATGCTGTATCAATCTTGTTTAATTGCTCTTGTAGTACTTTCCTCACTTCTTCCTTGTTCTCCTCCACCACTTTTTGGAGCATTTGAATTTGTTTCCATATCATTCTTCTGACTTCCTTCTCAGACAAATCCAAATCCTGCTCTTCCTCTTCTAGAAAGCCTTTGTCTGTCTCCAGCTCATATGTCTCAGCTAGTCTTTTCTGTTTTTGGACATGTTTTGACATCTTTTACTGTTTTTTGTTTGTCATATCCAGTAGTTGTGTGGGTTCTTAATGCTTAAATGGATGTTTGTTACTGTGTTATTAAGCTTACTGGGTGTCTCCTGATGGATATGATCAGGAGACAGGCTTTCCTTTTAGCATGTAATGCTTAGCAGCTTTTATTGGCTCTTGTCTCAATGGTAGAATATTATGGGGTATGCTTGTAGCTTGGCTATATGGTCACAATTACTGACTCTTCTTGGGTAACGTAGGGAGAAAAAGCTCCCACCTCCAGGAAAAATGTGTGATCAAAAGGACCAAAAGCAGAAGCAATATAAAAGCAAAGACAAAAGCCACCACTTTGAAACAAAAATAAAACTGTGGCTGACTGTCCAGTTGCCTTGCTACACAGGCAGTGTGTGTGCACCGCAGAAGCCTCCAGCAGAGGGCCGTGGTGTCTGTTCACTCACTTGGCACCTCCTTTAGTCACCACCGTAGAGGTGCACAGATAGATACTGAGAAGTTTTTGGGAGAAAGACTGTTACTATTTTTGTCTCTGAAGGTCAGTTAGGTATCTGCATGTGCAAAGCATAATTCTTGAAATGTTGCTGTTGTTGTTGTCAGGTGCCATCGACTCATAGTGACCCCATGCACAGAAGAACGAAACAATGTCCGATCCTGGGCCAATCTCACTACCTGCCACACCTGACAAAATCAATGATGCTACCTGGCTGATCCATCTCGTTGGGGGTCTTCCTCTTTTTCTCTGACCCTCCATCTTACCCAGCATGACATCCTTCTCCAATGACTGTTCCCTCCTGACAATATGTTCAAAGTATGAGAGATGAAGCTTAGCCATCTTGGCTTCCAAGGAGCACTCTGGCTGCACTTCTTCCAAAACAGATCTATTGGTTCTTTTGGCAGTCCATGGCACTTTTAGTATTCTCCTCCAACACCACAACTCAAAGGCATCAATTTTTCTACGAACTTCCTTATTCACTGTCCAGCTTTCGCATCCATATGAAGTTACTGAAAATACCATGGCTTGGGTCAGGCACACCTTAGTTCTCAAGCTGACATCTTTGTTCTTCACACTTTAAAAAAGTTCCTGTGTAGCAGATTTGCCTAATGCAATACGTCATCTGGTCTCTTGACTACTGCTTCTACGAGTGCTGATAGTTGATCTAAGAAGAATGAAGTCCTTGACAACTTCAATCTTTTCTCCTTTGATAAGAATGTTGTTTCTTGGTCCAGTGGTGAGGATTTTTGTTTTCTTGATATTGAGATGTAATCCATATTGAAGGCTGTGCTCTTTGATCTTCATCAGTAAATGTTTCAAGTCCTCTTCATTTTCAGCGATCAAGGTTGTATCATCTGCATATCGCAGGTTGTTAATGAGTCTTCCTCCAATCCTGATGCCACGTTTTTCTTCATAGAACCCAGCTTCTCGTATTATTTGCGTACAGGTTGAATAAGTATGGTGAAAGAACACAACCTTGTCGCACACCTTTCCCAATTTTAAAACAACACATTTTAATTCTCGAAATAGTTGCATCTTTTTATGTTGGGGTTTTACAGATTGTTCATATGGTTTGTCTGCCACGCCAAACGTGCTTTTTTTTCTTGCTGGATAGGCAGGAGTAAAGAAAGGGTCCTGCACACGTTAACTTTAGGACTGGGACCCACAGGCAGAAGTCAAAAGCAGCAGCCAAATAATTTGCCCTTGGACCGATGGGGCTCTTTCTCTCCGCCACTTTTAGCGCTGGTTCCCTGTGCTGGTCTGACTGTAGTCCCGTCCTCTCACCTCCACCGAGCAGGATGGCCACAGAGGGAGTCCCGCACACCTTGATCGATTTCTAATCTCACATCCTGACCCTTATGCTAGATCCAGAGCTCTGGTGCTGTTCCTTGAGAGCAGTGTCTCTGGGTTTTGAGCCCCTCCCCCATGGAGCCTGTCCTACCAGACTCTGCTCTGCCACCGTCAAACCCGGCATTAACTTTTGATCGATCAAAATTTTATGTACCATATGCCATTTGGGTATTCATGAGTACAGCTTAACCAATACATGCAGTATTTTTAAACCTACTGTATTTATTTTTTTAACCATTTTTTCAACAGTTAAAAAGGTTTCTGTTCTGTTGTTAAGTGGCCTTGAATCAGTTACGACTCATAGTGATCCTGTATAGGGTTTCTTAGGAGCAGCTGCTGAATTTGAACCACCAACCTTGTGATTCAAACTGACCTGTGGTCCAGTGCTTTTTCTACAGTGCCAAATTGTCTTATAATATTATTCACGTTTTGATTTACTAGACAGTCAAGAAGGCAATACTGTTCTTTTAAGGAAATATGATGTACTTTCAACCTAAACTGAGAGCTATTTAGTATAGTAATTACAAAATGCATAAGGCATACATACTGTAATGCATCAGCTTTGTTCTGAGTGTTTTAAATGAATAAGCTCAGTTATGCCCAAATTCTTTAAGGCGGATACGCTGACTCCATTTTACAGGACTGGAAATGAACACAAGGAGACTGAGTTATCTCCCGAAAGTCACATAGCTACTACCTGGTTGAACTGGGCTTCAAACCAAAGCCCTCTGGCTCCTTTGTCTGGGCTCTTCGTCACGTCACCGTGGAATTCCACCTCATGCACTAGGCTGTACTGAACACTTCCTGCTTTGAAGCTCAATGCTATGTGTAGTCATGTTTGTTATCCTCCCTATACTCAACTGTGAATTCCTACTTCTCCCCTATGTCTGCTGCATTCAATTAATTTAGTAAGTGATATCAGACTTACAATATATAGTCATTGCTAAGAATCAATATAAAAGAATAAACACATACGTGGGTAAGTTAAAAGCATAGGCACCTTTATTAAACAAAAATAAAAAAATGTGAAGCTACTATTTCTTGACATGGCCCCTACCCACATCAACACACTTCTTAAAGCATTATTTCCATTTCTCTAAACCTTATTTAGTAGAGTCCTGGTGTTTATTTTTTGGGTAACCCTTCCTTGAAGAATTCTGCTTCTTTCCAATGTTCTTTGAGTTTTGGGAACAAAAAGCTGTCTGAAGGGCAAGATCAGGACAGTAGGTTGGACAGCATAGTATTTCCCAATGAAATTCTCCGAGGACAAACCACTGGTGGTGGTGGTGTGCTGTGTAGTCGATTAGGACTCACAGCAACCCTACTACATAGGGTTTCCGAGGCTGTAAATCTTCACAGGAGCAGAAAGCCTCATCTTTCTCCTGCAGAATGGCAGGTAGTTTCCAACTGCTGACCTTAAGGTTCACAGCCTGATTCATAACCACTGTGCTACCAAAGCTCATTCTGTCATCAAAAAGTGAGCAGGTGCATTGTCTTAAAAGGAAAAATGTCCTTGGTACAATTTTCCTGGCCTTTTTCTCACCTATGCAGTTTTCAATTGTCTTAGAACATCTTCTGAATAAGCCCCTGTGGCCATCCTGTATCCCTTGAGAAAACGTATCAAGATTACCCTTTTGGAATCCCAAAAAAGAGTCACCATAACCTTCTGAGTTGACTGCTCTGCCTTAAATTTAACTGACCCAGCCTGCTTTGAAGGGACCTTTTTTTAAAAAGCACCCTAATGATATGAAGGAGTCCTAGTGTGGCACCAGGGGTCAACGAGCTGGTCTGTAAGGTCCTTTAAACTGCAAGGTTGGTGGTTCAAGTTCACCAGCCACTCCTGGGACACCCTACATAGGATCACTATGGGTCATAACCAACGTGATGGCACTTAACAATGATACTAACACTAGTGTATTATTGAAAGACTTTGTCTGCATTCATTCACTGATTGCAGAGACATATTTCAACAGGTTTTGTTTGGAATAAACCCATGCATGCATGTGTGAGCTGGGATCCTAGTAGCAATACTTTTTGACTGACTCTTGTATGTTTTAAAATAAGCTGAAGGTTTACAAATTACACTTGTCCTCCTACCTTGTACTCATTCTTATCCTGAAGATCTGAAGTAAACAATCTGATTCTCATGTCTGCTGCTGAAGTACAAAATCTGGAAGATCAAAATCAAATAGAAGAAATCAATTTTTACCTTTATAAAGTGAGCTCCCTTCCCTCCAACTTAAAAAAGTAAATTTTATTTTAAACTCTTTCTTGGAAAAAACAAAGGTTGGAATAAAAAAGCATCATTTTATAAGTATACCAGGTCAAAAATAAGTATTAAAATATAGTTGTACTTTAATTTTTTTTCTATCTTTTATTGTGAATTATGTGATAGTTTACATGGGAGAACATTAGCTTTACATTCATCCTATCGTATATCATTACACTGCCATGGATACAATGCCCTCCATGCACCCTTAACCAATCAACGGGTATATACCTTGCAAGCCTGCCCCCTGGTGCTCAGCACATAGCCCCTCTCCCTCTCTGGGTCTAGAGTTTCCAGCTGCTCCATCTCTCCATGTCATCATCCCTGCCTCTATCTCTGGCATCACTGTTTCTCTGGGTAGGGTCCCGTACTCCACTCGTCTTCCTTGATGGTTCCAGGGACCTCCGCTCCTGGACTTCAAAGTCCACCACTCCACTCCTTTTGCTACAAAACATCTATGTTTACATTTCTAACCCTCACAGTCAGTCCTGATAGTAATTTTTCACTATTGTACCATGTGAGTGCTATCCACATCTCCTTTCATCAGTCCCGCCTGGTAGACTGGATACTACTCAGTAGAGATTCTACCTTCCTCCGCACCCTCTGGATCTAGGCTCCCTCTTGATAGCTTGTAAGCTAGTCACTTCTTGCCTTAGTTGTTGTTGTTAAGTGCCGCTGAGTCGATCCCGACCCACAGCAACACTGCACAGGGTTTCCGAGGAGCAGCTGGTGAGTTTGAACCGTCAGCCAGTATCCAAGTTACTCATCCCTATCTACCCTGTGAATGGAGAGGGTGGGAATGATCCTCGCTGTAAAGATTTATTCCCCCTTTTAAGCTACTGAATCTATAGGTGTTTGTCAAGTTCATCAAATTGTATCAGATTACTCTTTTTTAACCTCTTCTTTCTTCTTCTAGTTGAGCTCTGATTATCTAGCCATGAAGCCAGGTCAAGTGGGTATTATCTGCAAGTGTGGGTGTTACTGTGCATATGCCCTCTCTTCTTACCACTCTAGTCGTCTGTGGCTATGTGACTGACTCTGGGCCCAGGAGTCTCCAGGTCTTGCAAAACTGCTGGCCAACCAGGTCTCCACCCAGGTTCACAGGAGTGTATCAAATGTGGTTGGACTTAGCTCACAGTTTCATTGCTGTTTTTCCCTCTCATCCCTTTATTGGTGACCAACATGGTCACCAATCAGAGCGTGTCTGCTCATGTATTCCCACTGAGTCTCATCAGTCTAGGAAGGGGGTTTGCCCTGAGGGGACCCGACTGTTTGCTTTGATGTCTCCTGGGTGAGCAACTTGCTTGTTCTTGTAGTAGTCAGTCGAACTGCCATTATTGTTCTGTATTATTCCTGTAGATCTTTCTTTTAGGAAGTATCTTCTGTTCTTTTAGCCACTCCAGACTTGTCTTCTTGTCCTTTTAAGTGGAAATTTACCACCTCACAAGACTCTAGAAGGGGTTCAGGATTCCACCTATGGTCTTATGTAATGCAGAGGCTCTGCAGGAAGCCTCCTTCATTGGACACATTGTAGCCCCATTTAAAGTATTCCAAGCAGTTAAAGGCAGAAGACGGACTTACAAGCTTTCTATGGTGGTATTTCTGGCGATTCCTTTCTGTCCCCCTCAATTGTCTATTTTATAATGTTATGGCAGGGAAACCAAGATTCAACAGACAGCCAAGCATCTTAACATTATTGTCCCCTTTTGCCCATTCCAAGCACATCTCAATCCCTGTATGCTGCTGAGCATTTCTGATTCTGAATTGCTAACTTGTCCAATGAAGCCTATAGCCGTGAATACTGATTGTGAGTTCTCTGTGGCCACTGCAATGAATTACTGAACCTAACGAAGTTAAGAGTGCTGTGTGAAGGATAACTGGGGTCAGAACTGGAAGGGAAGGTTGGAGGGGAGTGCCATGTTTGACCTCAGCCTCATATGAACAGGCCTTGGGCTAACGTTGAATTTGATTCTCCTTCTCTCTGGTGACATTAGAGGATGCTAGATGCTAGTTAACTTCATGTATATGTTTTTGTTGTTGCTTTTACAAGCATATTAACTAGTACACATATTTCATTAGCCTTTTCACAAGCAAATTATTTTCTGGTTTGAATATTTTGTTATCATGTATTTTCAGTAATGAAGGCAAACTGAAATTAAGGGGTAAAATGTTTTTGAGTTAATATGGGTTTTGATGCAGTTGTGTGGGATACATGTGTTCCAAGTGTACTCGTTGGGGTAAGGCCTGTTTCTTCTGATTCATAGCTATGGGTCCTTGCAAATTGGTGGCATGTATCACAACTGGGATAACAGTTTCACAAGAAACCTCAAAGGCTGCAAATGTTGGTGGGGATAAATATCCCATAGGCCACAAATGCTTACAGATTTTGAGTATCAAGTTTTCTTCTACCAAGTAGATTTTCATTTGATTAGTCAGATCAGCCTAATCTTTTCTCCACCACTTAACAGGCATTTGTGATGACACTTGACTGCTTTTGGTCTGAGTTTCCTTTTAATCAAATGAAGGAGACTACATTAACTGACTGATAGCACAGTGGTTACGAGTCGGGCTGCTAATGTCACGGTCAGCAGGAGAAAGATGAGGCTTTCTGCTCCTGTAAAGATTTACAGCCTCGGAAACCCTATGCAGGGTTGTTATGAGTTGGAACCGACTCCAAGGCATACCACCACCACCAATGTTCTTTTTGGAGTCCTGGTGTGGCACTGTGGGACAACGCACTGGACTTCAAGGTCTGTTTAAACCGCAAGGTCTGCAATTCAAATTTACCAGCTACTCCTTCGAAAACCTATACAGAGTTGTCATGAGTTGGAACCGATTCTACAGCACTTAACAACAACAGTGTCCTTCTTGAGTGCTGGTGTGACGCTGTAGGATAAGCACTGGATTGTTAACTGCAAAGTCAGTGGTTCAAATACATCAGTCACTTCTGGGAAACCTGATTGTTGTTGTTGTTAAGTGCCGTCGAGTCGGTTCCGACCCATAGCGACCCCGTACAGGGTTTCCGAGGGTGTAAATCCTTACGGGAGTAGAAAGCCTCATCTTTCTCCCGCGGAGCGGCTGGTAGTTTCGAACCGCTGTCCTTAAGGTTCGCAGCCCGATTCGTAACCACTACGCTACCAGAGCTGATACAGGGTCCTTAAGAGTTGAAACAGACTCAGAATGAACAATATTCTTTTAATTTATAATGTGCGGATGCTTTCATTCTTATTTCAAAATGTAGCTATATACCCTGATCTTCATTTTCATTTAATCTGTTGTTGTTAGGAGTCCCATGCAAAATGATTTTTGACTACTATTAACTACATATGACAAATTAGAACTGCCCACTAGCATTTTCTAGGCTATAATCTTTATGGCAGCATATTGTCAAGTCTTTTTCCTGTGGAGCCACTGCATTAGTAGTTGAGCACTTAAGCACTGCACCACCAGAGCTCCTTTCATTTAACCTAATCCATACCTATACTCAATTAGCAAATAAGTACGAAAATGGCTGCTTTGATTTGGGGCATTTCAAGTAGAAGACAACAAAACAAAACAAAACAAAAACACATGAGGACCAAAAACCAACCAGACCAATCACATCCACTTAATAATTTAACTGTGGGACTAGTGTCAACGAATATACTTCTGGAAAACAACAACAACAAAACCCCAAGCAAAACACCCCTCCTGTGCTGTCTTTGTCACACACATGGCATCACGGGTTCCTTTTGCTTTAGTTTTGATATCAGGGTTTTTTCCAGTACAATCCAGCATCTTCAATCTAGTCAAGTTTCCCTTAGTTCAATTTCTTCAGTTCATCTCCAGAACCATTCTTCATAGCTCTCTTTGGGTAAGATGATAAAAAGAGATAAAAGGGTAAAGGAGAAGAAAGGGAAAGTCTAAAAAATATTAAATACTTGTGCATCAGCTGCAATGGAGAAAGAATGCTATGTTGTTGTGAGGTGCTGTTCAGATGCCTCCAACTCATAGCGAGCCTATGCATAAGAGAACGAAATATGACTCAGTCCTGTGCCATCCTCATAATCAGTCTTCTATTTGAGACCATTGTTGCAGCCACCGTGTCAAGCCATCTCATCGAGGGTCTTCCTCTTTTTCAAGAATCCCTAACTTTATCAGGCATGATGCCCTTTTCAAGGGACTGGTTCCCCTTGAAAACAAGGTCACAGTATGTGAAACAGAGTCTGGTCATTCTTGCTTCTAAGGAGCATTCTGGCTGTATTTCTAAGACACCTTTGCTTGTTGTCTGATACTCCAAGGTACATTCAATATTCTTCACCAACACCTCAATTCTAATACATCAATACTCCAGTCTCCTTTATTCACTGGCCAGATTTCACACACATGAGCTAACTAAAAATACCATGGGTTAGGTCAGGTGCACTTTAGCCCTCAAAATGACATCTTTGCTCTTTAACACTTTAAAGAAGTCTTGTGTGGCAGATTCACCCAATGCAATAAGCTGTTTGATTTCTTGAATGTTGCTTCCATGAGCACTGATTATAGATCAAAGTATAATGAAATCCTTGAAAAAAACTTTAACCTTTTCTTCATTTATCATGATGATATTTGTGTGCTTGTGAGGACTTCTGTCTTTTTTTTTTACAGTTAAGTTGTAATCTATACAGAAGGTTGTAATCTTTCATTTTCATGAGCCAAGTACTTCAATTTGTATGCGCTTTCAGGAAATAACCTTCATCTGCATATTGAAGGTTGTTAATGAGCTTTCCTCCAATCCTGTCATGTTCTTCTTCATATGGTCCAGCTTCTTGGTACATTATGGGTAAAACCATTATTTATTCCTAAGTATATATTTAAAGAAATCTGAGCACAACCAAGATACATGTACAAGACTGTTTAGAGCTGTATTATTTGTAATC